TCAAAAAGTCAAAAAAAATTATAAATCAGTGACTTAAAAATAGGTTTCCTAATAACATTTTAATTCTTAAGATATTCGTAAAATTTCGGGGAAAAACTATTATTATAAGAAATCAAATATTTCATTTATTTTGTCATTTTTTATCATAAATGCAGACAGTAAATAACTAAAAGCATCAACTTTACTAATATTACTAGTAAATATTTCTGAAAAATATTATCCTATAAAATTATAAAGTAATGTTAAAGAAAAATATAATTTTTCTTCACTATTATTAATTTTATTTATTTTATTTAAAACAATTTATTATATTTATTCTTCTGTTAAGTTAATATTTAATTAATCTTTATATTATCTACTTAAATAATTATAAGCAAAAAAGCCTTCTTCTTATGTATTTTAATTTTCTTTTTTTTCGAATAATTTTTCAAAAGTAATTTAATGTTAACATTTATCTTTTTAAAAAGAAAGTTAAGTTTTATCTAAATCAAAGTATTCAGGTAATAAATTAGCAAAACTTAAATTAAAATATTTGTTTGATTCTTTTTATGAAAAAAATATTTTATATAATTATTATTATAGCATTTCGAAGTTTTAATCCTATTTACGATCTTTTAATTTATACCCGTTTCTTTTTTTTGAAAGTGAATATATATATTTAATAATATTAAAATTAAGCTTCCAATTATCAGAAAATAAAAATACGTCAAAAATATTTTAGTCTTCATATAATAATTCAGGAAATAAAAACTAATTTTAAATATTTTTAATTTTAAATATAATATATTTTTATTACACTATTGTTTGCTTAAATTTTATGTAATTATGATTTCGTAAATTATAATTGTATTTCTGTTAATACATCAATTGATTCACATAACTTTTCTTCGTTTTATTTTCTATTCTAATAATCGTTTTTATTTATACATTCTTAAATATATTCGTCCATGTATTTCTTTGCTATTTTTGATCCAATAATCTAAAGAGTACTCAATTCTAATAAATCCTCTGATTTTCTTAAAAAAACGGACAAACTATTAATAAAAATTTTTAACTTTTCTTTTAATTCTTCTATAGTTACTTCATTATCAAATTTAGACAAATAAATTTTATTAAATTCTATATCCTATAATTTATATAATATATTACTTTAAATGGATTTTATTTTTTTATATATATTTTTTTTATAAAAAAACTCAATTAAAATAAAGTAATTATTAATCCATTTTTATTTCTCAAGGCTTTTTTTAAAAAAAATTACAAATAAAAAATATAAATTTTTAAATTGTAATTTTATTTTTTAAGGAGAAAAAGTAATAATAAATTTTTCTAACATTATTATTTCGAATAAATTATTAAACAAAATTATAATAATAAAATTTTAAAAATAGTAGTAAATAAAGATAATTATAGATATTATATATTTTTTACCTGCTGAAAAAATAATATGTTGTTAGAATAAATTAAATTTGATTTAAAATTTTAAACAAATTACATATTAGTATTTAAATTTATTATAATTCGATTTTATTTTTATATTGTTTAATATATATTTATTTAAATAATTTTTTTTATTTTAATTTTGATAAGACAAATTTAATTATAATAAATTAAATTTATTTTATATGCTTTGTATTATATATTTTTTTAAATTTATTATATTTAATTATTTTGTTTAATTTTACTAAATTTTATTAATTGAAGATAATAATATATTATAAAAAAAAAAAATGTATTAAATTTCATGTTTAAAAATTAATATTATTTTTTATATTTATAATTATAAATTATATTGATATTAAATAAATAATTTTGTATTTATTTTAAATAAGTATAATATATAATTTTAAAATTATTTCATATTTATATTATTTTATTAGTATTAATTTTATTATATAAGAAAATACAAATGAATAATATAAATATAAATTATTAATTATTAATATAAACATTATATATAAAGTAAAATAAAATATATATTAAAAAAAAATTTTCTAAAATATTATAATAATATATATATAAATATATATATAAATATATATTTAAATATCATTATTAATTTATTATTTTTATTTAATTTTTTTTTTTTTATAAATTTTATGAATCATCATTTTATTTTTTTTATTTTTATATTTATAATAATATTATTTAAATATTTTTTAGAACATATTAATTTATTATATTTTTTATAATTACATTTATATTAAAATTTTCAATATTTTATAATAATTATATTTTATTTTATATATTAATTTTCTTAAAAATTAAAATAAAATAACTTCTATATTAAATAATTTATTATTTAAAGAATTTTTTTTTTAAAACATTTAATTTATATTTATTTTGTTAATGTATTTTAAATACATATAATTATATCAATCTTTTTTTTAAAAGTAACATACAATTTTTAACTTAATAAATATATTATTTACATTTTTTTTTATAAAAAAAATATCAATATAAAACCATTTTCGAATATTCCAAAAAACCTAAAAAATATAATAATATTTTATATTTAGTAAAATTAAAAAAAAGACTTTTTTTTTAACTTATTTAAGATTTGTTTGATCTTGCAGAAAACCTTCTTTTTTTTCATTTTCACAAATATTAAACACTTCACATTCTTCTTTAAATGAAATTTTTTTAGTAATTTTGTGACCAGATATTACATTTGGAGAAGCTAAAGATTTTTTTAATATTGTTTTTGATTATTTTTAAGGTTTTATTTCTATTTCTGATATTTATTCCTATATTTACTCTATATTAAGGCTCAAATTTTTCTTTTTATATCCCAGTGCGTTCGAATTTTCGTTTTTTTTGCATTTAATTTGTTAATTTTATTATTTTAAAACTTTTTCTCCTTAAAAAATATTTTCTTTGTCTATTATTTTCCCTTTTTTGTTTATATTCTATATAGATTAAATACTTTAAAAATAAGGGGTATATGTATTAAACTCGAAATTTTTTTCTTAAAAAACATTATTTTTATCTAAGCTTTTTTCCAATTTAAAAATTAAACTTTCTAAATCATTAATTATATTATTTTTTAAAAATTCAATTTTTTATTATAATTCTTCTCCTTTATTTTTTACGTTTCTTGTAGTAAAAGTGTAATTAATATCATTTTCTTATTACTATTTAATATTTTTTTATGTAAAATAAAGGTTTTTGATATTAATTTGCTGTTTAAAAGGTGATTTGGATGAGTTTTTATGTATTAAATATTATTTAAAGTCTATTTTTTAATTTTAATCTTACATTTTTTTTAAGTTATAAAAATAAATTATATAAATAATTTTCGTTAGAAGTGTATAAATAATTTTTAAAAAAAAAAGAAAATAAAATAAAAGATTATTAAAAATAAATTTTTAATATAAAATAAAAAAAAAATATAATTCAAGTATTATGAAATTTTTAATAATAGTAAATATAAATAATAAATATATATAAATAAACATATTAAAAAAAAAAATTAATTAATATTAAATAATAAAAAAAAAAATTATAATTTTTATCTTTATTAATATATAGATATATTTATAAAAATAAAAATACAATATATATATATATATATATATAATATAATATAATATAATATAATATAAAAATAAAAATCTAAACAAATTAAGTGAATATAATAAAAAAAAATGTAATTTATTGAAAATAATTAATCAGATATAATTTACTCAAATAATATATTTTTCTTTTAGCAAGTAAAAAAAACTATCAATAATATTTATATTTATTATTACTTTCAATCAATTTTTTTTTTTTTTTATTTATTTTAAAATACAATTTACAATATAAATGCCACTAAATGTATTTTTTCTTTTTTAGATTAAATATAATAAGTGCAAAAAATATATTAAAAATAATATACTTTATTTATTTTTTTAAAACACAATTGATAAATAAGTATGGATTATTAATTATATTAATTTAGATTTTTTTTTTAATAAAAATTATAGAATAAAATAATCATTATTATATTATATAAATTTTAGGATTTAGAATTTGATTAAATATATTTATCTAAATTTGATAATGAAATAACCATAGAAGAATTAAAAGAAAAGTTAAAAAATTTTATTAATAGCTTGTCCGTTTTTTTAAGAAAAGCAGAAGATTTGTTGGAATTGAGTACCCTTTAAATTATTGGATCAAAAATAGCAAAGAAATACATGAATGAATATATTCAAGAATGTATAAATAAAAATGATTATTAGAATAGAAAATAACAAGAAGAAAAACTATGTGAATCAATTAATGTATTAACAGAAATATAATAATAATTTACAAAATCATAATTACATAATATTTAACCTTATAATAGTGTATTTAAAATAAAAATATCTCGTATTTAAAATTAAAATTATAAATATTTTAAATAAGTTTTTATATCCTGAATTATTATATGAAGACTAAAATATTTTTGACGTATTTTTATTTTCTGATAATTGGAAGCTTAATTTTAATATTATTAAATATATATATTCACTTTCTAAAAAAAGAAATGGGTATAAATTAAAAGATCATAAATAGGATTAAAACTTCGAAATGCTATAATAATAATTATATAAAATATTTTTTTCATAAAAAAAATCAAACTAATATTTTA